TGTGGAGTCTACATCTTTGGTGATTTTAAAGGCTGATAGACAAAAGTCAGAGCTGAGCTCTGATCTAGTGCCAGTAACAGTCCTGGCTGGAACACAGACTGGACTAGATGATCTCCAGAGGTCCCTTCCAACCAACATTTCTATGATTCTCTCTGATTTCATGGTACTGTGTAAGATTACCACAATCTTAATGAATGGATTAATGAAAAAAGTATCCTGGTCACAAAAATCTCAGTCAAGTACAGTCCTTTAACTCCAAAAAATGTATCAGGACAATGGCAAGACAGCTACATTGGCACATTAAAATGGGCCTAAAATAAATGGGAGAGTGGAGTACAGAAGAAGGTGTACAGTTGAAAGAAGATCACTTTCTCCAAGTTGGATGATCTACCTCTCCCTTCTCCTTCTTCTAACCACATAGTTACTTGAAGCCTTACAAAGTAAGTTTACAACTCTGTAAGCATTTATGTCTTTTTAAAAATATTTATCGTAGTTTTGCCCAAGTATCAATATTACCACATTTATGTTCAAGAGAATTTTGTTTGCACTACCCATTTCAAACTTTTTGTGCTATTTCAGAATTGATCAAAAACTTAAAGTGGAGACCTCCTTGGAAAAATGTTATGCTGTCAGACAAGCAAGGGTTGGAACCAAGAAATCAAGTTCAAAAGAAAGCCAAAAAGCATTCTTATATGTATTTCTCTACAGCGGTGAGTTTCAAGCCAAGTACATTACCAAAATCTCACACTAGTTTTAGATAAGACTTTACCAGTTAAAAACTGTATTTCAGTTCCTTTAGGAACGCAAAGAGATGTAACTGTTGCATGCTTCACCTGGTGGCCTGACTCAAGGAATGGCTGCCATGGTTTCTGGGCTGTTTTGCCCACACATTATTCCTACCACAGACTTTGAGTAATTGAGGGAACCGCAGGGACCAATGCCGTCGATGAAAAGATGTAAAGATGGCACAAGGTGGGTCTTTGGGGCGTTAACAAAGGCCTTGAGCTGGACAGAACCCTGCCAGAAGCCGGCCTTGTCACATCTGAGAGCCACCTTCTGGGGACCACTGCCAGCCGGGAGCGGAGAGCCGGACGGGGCGGCAAACGGGGCACTGCCGGGTCGCGGCCGCCCTGCCAGGTACCCCCGTGAGCGGGAGGGCTGCCCTGGTTCCCGGCCCAGCCCACCCCCGCGGTGGGGTGCAGGGACAGCACGGCCACACGCACACTTACTTGATGTCCTCCCAGACGGCGGGGCCATAGTTGCGGATGACGAGCAGCTCCAGGGCGTGATTGACGAAGCCGTACTGCGGGGCAGGGCGAGGCGGCGGCACGGTCAGGCACCGGGTGAGGGAAAACCCTTCCACCGCTCCGC